GGATCAAATGTAGTTTGTTTGACAGTCCATGTAAGTTGTGGAAAAACATTAGCACAAACGACAATAATTTGTAAACTAATTCATTGATTCAACATTGCCGACTGAAAAGAGATTCCATAATGATTTTAAACTTAACATAAATCTGATGGAAGTACAGTACCGAATGTAATAAAATAGCAATGAAACCATTTTATCAATATATGAAGTCAGTTGTGTTTGCTTCAACTAATAAGGTTTGTGGACTTATAACGACTATAATGAAGCTTATTACTGCCCCTGCTTCTTATAGTTTGCTGGGGTATACTCGCCGTGTCGTGGGCTCATTATAATAAATTTTTAAACACCGGCACTCGCTACGAATTGTAACTTATTTAACTTTATGAAAAAATCTTACGGATAGTTACAATTTGTGCTTAATTACTGTCTCCCGCCTTGTAATGCCCTTACCCGAGGGTAACTGTTCAGTGTAGAACGTTAGTGCAACACTGTTTCCCGCTCTCAGTGAACGTATATCATAGAGAAGGTTTACGATTTGGATATCGTAACTTTTCGCAAGGGTACTCGGCAGAGATAAGCGAATTTCAATAGAGTCGTATTATAAGCGTGTTTCACCAGAGTGACTCGAAATTAACACACTTGAACATTTTCAGTGTTAAATGAGATATTGCTAATTTCAATTTAAAGAAATGTACGCCTACAAATTCGTTTACTTTCTATGCGCAGCCGACTCTTCATATAATATATAAGTATATAATCGGTATATTATTTATTTGGTATCAAAGCATATACTTAGTACAAAAGTATGTATGTATGTTAAAATTTCTTGATTTGGAGGATGAAGTCATGTGTAGAAGTTCACGCAAGTGAGGAGTGGCCAGAAACAATTTATTTACATATGGCCTCAATCAGCTCACTACTTTCGGTCTTTGACCAAGGGTAGCCTAAGAACAGCCGTTTGAAGGCGAACTAAAGTGAGAAGGCGAAATATCCCGTTCATAGGGTTGTGCGCTGGGTTTGGAACCTGCCAGATAAAAAAAAACACTACCAATGAAAAACTGCCATCAGTCTCGGAAGAGAAACTCCCTTTTTGATGACGACCATGGATTAAGGACTATGATTTGAAGGCATGCACTTGGAATGTCCGGTCCCTTAATAGGGAAAGTGTTGCTGCCCAGMTGGTTGATGTCCTGGTTAGAGTGAAGGCTGACATCACCACCGTCCAAGAAATGCGATGGACGAGACAAGAACTGAGACGAGTAGGTCCTTGTGTCCTTTTCGCCGGCACCTGCCAGCAACCAGATCGATCATGTTGTGATATACGGAAGATACGACTCGGGCCACTAGCTTGTTGCAGCCAAGATTCGCATCCGCCTCTGTGCAGCAAAAAATGCACGCCATCAAGCACAAGGAAGATTAGACGTCGAGAAATTGCAATCACAACAGACAGCCGAACGCTTTTCTACTCGGTTTGCACTCCTACTCACTGAGAGCACTCGTTAAAAACTCGGTATAAGGGAACTGTGGGACGGCATTTCAAACTCCTTACTTACAGCTGCAACCGAAACCATTGGTTTTCGGAAAGTGCAAAAGAACAGCTGGTACGACGAGGAGTGCCGTGTCGCAACGGAGAGAAAACAGGCTGCCTTCCTCGCAACGTTACTATCGACCACAACACGTGCGGGATAGGTACCGAGAGTTGAAGAGGGAATCGAGACGCATTTGCAGATAGAAAAAGAAAGAGGCCTAAATGCGTGAGTACGAAGAGCTTGATAAGCTGGCCGACARGGGAAATGCTCAAAAATTCTACGAAAAAATGCGGCTTACAGAAAGTTTCAAGATCGGAGCATACCTTCATTTTTAAAGACATATCGCCATTTTTCAGCAGTACTTTTCTCTGAAAATTSATTGTTACTATTTTTTAATTTTCTTTGGATTTCTTTAAGTCTTATAGTTTCGGAATATAAGTCATCCATCTTAATATTTAACTTGTCTTTTAATTCAGTCTTTT